ATAAAACCCATATTCACTGAATGCAGTTCAATTTTTATTATGTGTGTTATCCTGTTTCGTTTCGTTTCTTTGATTACAATAAGCCTTCTCCGTATGCTCGTGTTGGAAGTGGCGGGTAAGTCACGGTCCCAGTGGGAAACTTCAGGCGGAAGTCTAGTCGGGGCTATGGGTCCGCCAATTCGGGGCTTAGGACGGTGTATGAGAGTGGTTGTTGTGAGAGAGGACCTACAGCGGGCACAGCAACCTTATGAGTTTATTTCTGGGGGTCTATTGCAGAATTTAGCATTTTAAAAGGGGCCTATTTGCCTCCCGCGCGGGCCCGCTCTGGAAGGTGAAAAACACCCTGCTTTCCCGCTAAATTTGGAACGCACATGGGGGAGTAACAGCATATAGAGTGAACCCCCGGGGTGGGTGGGTGGTTGGGTGGGTGGGTGTTGTGAAACAAGTCGCGCGGCTCTCTCGCTCTCAACGAGAGCTCGGCAATCATTTGCGAAAAGTGTATGTATTTAAAACTGTTAAAATAAATAAATAATGAAGAGAATACAATATGATTGATTATGTACCATGTATTTAAATGCATGTGACGCCAGGCCGTTATACTTTACCATGCATTTTAAAGCGGAGGAGTCGTTACCTGCGCATGCGTCAGATGGCCATAGCGTGTCATTGTTTACAAACAAGCGTCTACCCATGACTTTTTGCGTTTTTAGCGTGTGTTGTTATCGTCGCTTGAGACTCAATTTCCGCGCGTGCGCAGATGACGACACTCCTGATTTAATGTACGTGACGTCAGAATGGTTTACTTACCACGTAGTTTATGAGTCTATTAGTTGCGAATCCAATGATAATACCAGCAACGAACCGAAGCGATACATACTTCACACATATCATCTCAGAATTCAATGTATTATACGAAAAGATAAAGTTTCGTTTTGACCAGTGATGTGTCTTCTCTACTGTTTAATATTAGGTAAGAGTATTATCATTTTCATTGAAGAACCAATTTATCAAAACCAATGTGAATGTAACTTTACTCAATAATTTGAAAACAGTTCATGCTGCATTGGCGATGATACCGAGACATTATTGTCTGGTGTATCATAATAATAGGTTCATTGCGAGATCTCGCTTACTGCGTGAAAGACGTGGGTTGAACGTCTGCGGCAAAGGTCGAATGATTTGATTTTTCATTTCAATCTGTTTTTTATAGTGAAGTGTCCAAATACATATTTTTCAGAAAAAAAATCTTGTGTTGTGATATTTTAATTCATCATAATTGATCACCATCAAATGCGTATAGCACATGATTATGAGGCGTGAGAACAACACGTTACCATGGCGCTATGATCTTTGCTCGTCCTGTTTTTACGTGACGATTTCACACAGAACGCGGGATTTCGCGATGAACGGGAAATGGTTCATTCAGTTGTGTTACACGAGCTGTGCACGTAGCATTTGTAGATGACATGCATTGTCTAATCGTCCATACGTTATGTTTTAGCAGGTTAAATGATACTCGCAAAACCTATGAGAGACTTGAACCTATGAGGAACAGATAAATTCGTCACTTAGATAAATATTTAACCCAATAATATGATACTTACCAATTCTGCAATGTATTAATGTAATATATCCACAGCATCAAATCTACAATAACATTACCAACTGAAGCGTTATCATACCGGGACAGCTGAGTGTAATGGAAACAAAACGTCACAAATCACTTGGTACAGTTATTATTGTAATTTCCAGCAGTGTCAATAAATGGATAATCACATGTGACCTGTTTAGCAGATTTTCAATGATATTTACCCCCTTTCACTGGCTAAACTGAGATGGAAATTATTGCCCTTATTGGAAGTCTAATTATCAAATTTAAAATGAAACGGCAATGTTACTATTATCACAAACGCATAAAAATAGTGTGCACGAAAGAAAAGCGTTTACAGTTTGTGGTAGCTATTTCTCAATGAACAAAGACATTTGGATAAATTCCGATCAGA